ATCACTAGCACCACTACTACAACAACCGCCACGATCACTACCACCACTACTACGACTACCGCCACAATCACTACCACAACTACTACGACAACCGCCACGATCACTAGCACGACTACTACAACAAGCGCCACCATCACTACCACCACTACTACGACTACCGCCACAATCACTACCACGACCACTACAACAACCGCCACAGTCACTAGCACGACTAGTACAACAACCGCCACGATCACTACCACCACTACTACAACTACCGCCACGATCACTACGACGACCACTACAACAACCGCCACAATCACTACCACTACGACTACGACAACCGCCACGATCACTAGCACGACTACGACAACAACCGCCACAATCACTACCACAACTACTACGACAACCGTCACAATGACGACTACGACTACCGGTATGTCTATGACCACAACCACTACCTAGAGTACTACGACAACTACTGCTATTACGACCACGGGCACGACTACTATCTGGACCCCCTGGATGACAACCACTGAGTGTCTTGTAGTTTTGAGGAAAAAGGAACGAGTATATGGAAGAATTGAGTGGTATCTTTTTGTTTGAGTCGGGCACTGATATCAGGGATTAGGCGGAGAGGTTACATGCGGGTGCAAAATGTGGTTGTGTGGGGGAAGACGTGTACGGGAAGGATAGGTTTGTTGCGTGGGTGAGTAAGTGGAGCAGCAACGGGTAAATGATTTGGATTTATTTTATTGGTAGTTCTCTGACAAGTGAACAAATAGAGTTTGGATCGTTGTGTGTAGTACATTCTTGATCGCTAGAGATATTGATGAGTAGTGGTTACAGTCGGGACGAAAAGTGGCGGAAGGGTTCTGAATAGGCGAAGTTTAATGCACTTCTTTTGAATGCATGTTGCTTGCAGATGATTTATTCAACAGGGCTGATTATGAGTGTTAAAGTATACAGCGGGAAAAGTTAATCCGCGAACCTGCCTAGTCAGCAGTGAGCGAGCTGTAGAAAAAGGGAGTTTAGCTTCGCTGTTCATGTTGAACATTTCGAATGGCGCCCGCTTGCATTTCATCACAGACCATGATATATGTGGTGGAGATTGTGGTTCCCGACGAAAGTGGTTTCATTGTGTTTGTGACTTGAATCACGTAGAGATTGCACTTGACGTTAGTTTCGTTGGATTGTTGTAGTTTTAAATAATTAATGAAGCGGAGTAAAGGCGGGATTCGGCTTGTCCGTAAGTAACACACTTAGATTTTGGCAACTGTCAATCGTTTTTCTCCTAAACGACTAAGTGCAGAACCTCTAAACTTGATACATATAGTGCCCGTCAAAAGTTCGGGGCGAAACTTTTTGCTTTTATAATATTATGTAAAGAAGCTATTATGAGTAAATGGTGATGTGCTTTGATGGATCTAATAGTGACCTTTCGTATACTGTATTAGCATTTGAATTGAATGTTTCTGTAGAAAGTTATATAAGTTTCAATATTAGGGCCTTGGGCAAACGTTCTGGGACACTGCAGGATATTCCATTGAATATCTAATATTATATACGAAAAATGAGACGATTAAGCTGAAAATTTCAGATTTTATAGTTTTTATGTAGACAATATTATTCATACAAAAAAGTTTTGAAAAATCTAATAGCATCGTAGTTTGGTGAGAACAACAAGAATGACGTCTTCTGACATACCCCTCAAAAATCAATTTCATCCCAGGTATGGTTAAATCGCATGAAACTTTCAGGATATGTTGGAGCTGTAGTGGAGAGCCTATGGTAAAATTTTCAGACCTATATCCTGACATTTGAGAGAGATAGTCACCAAGCAAGAGTCAAAAATAGGCTATTTGGCAACCCTAAATTCTCGGTCCAGACTCACTCTATATGTTAAATTGTTTTTTGTTAGAAAGAGCATGCCAGGATACAGTGTACCAAAGAGCTCTTTTCTTTTAATTCTTACTTTTTAAGTGAAAAAAAGAGATTAAAAGATGAAGATCTCATAAAACCTCAAAAAATGTTTGTTTAGTTATATAAGTGTCTAATTATATAACAAGTAACGTTCGTCGGCTCGACTCACTTGACCCTCGACTGTATTAGACAGAAGTATACAAGTCCCATCGATGGACACCCAGTTATGAAACAGCTGATTAAGGGAGAATTTATCACATATGTCGGATTGACTGACTTTTCAGTCTGAAAAGTCGAATGGGTTGAAAGTTAAACATTAAAAGCACGAGAATCGACCACTTAGCCAACGTTTTTTATGACGTTTCACCTTTCACTCTAACAAAAACAGACGAAAATGTATTTTACTTCATATAACCCTTCCTACACACGAGAAAACATTATTTTATCAAAAAACCTTTTCTCCTGGACCAAAAAAAAAATTCGATTCAATACTTTGAGAAACCAACTTCAGATTCGGATTCTCCAACCTTGATTTACTCTCGTCAACCTTTAAAAATTATCGTTTTTTGCTAAAAAATCCTTTCCTCAACCCAAAAAACTCAATTCAAAATTTTCAGAAACTAACTTCAGATTCTGATTCTACGACCCCGATTTACTTTCGTCCACGTTCACAACTTTTATAGAAAAGAACTTTAAATGGATGTTTTTTGACCCTGATGTTCTTTTGACCTCGACACAGACACACAAACACACACACAACCCTTTTTTTTTCATTTGATCCTCCTTAAAGTCGGGGGAATATAAATGTTACCTTAAAATAAAACTGTTGAATATCTCACCATCATGTCCTTCTTTCTCTACTATTAGACAAAAATTTCAATGAGGATATATCATAATGCCTGCCGGTATCGTCAAAATAACTACACCTCTTTAGCTACAAACAACGAATTCATATTTTCTTCAAATTCAGATCCTAAAGATTTCACTGACGCGAGTTGCGCTATACAAAGTATCACCAGTTAGAAACTCAGCTACAAACAAGTCTCATCCGTGGAAACCTACTTATAAAACAGCTCATTGAGAAAGAACCTATCGCATACGTCGGATTAACTGGATTTTCAGTTTGAAAAATAGAATTGGTGAAAAACCCAATATTACAAGCACGAGCACCGAACACTTAGCCAAGAGTTTTTTAATGACGTTTCATCGTTCACTTTGACAATAATAGACAGAAATTTATTTTATTTCATATAACTCTTCCTACACCTGAGGAAATATTATTATCTTCTCAAAAAAAATTTTCCCTGAACCCAAAAAAATGAATTCAAAATTTTGAGAAACTGACTTCAGATTCGGATTCTCCGACCCCGATTTCCTTTCTTCAAACTTTATAAAGTATGGTTACTTTCTCGAAAAACCCTTTTCTTGACCCTAAAAATTCAATTCAAAATTTTGAAAATCTGACTTCAGATTCGGATTCCTCGACCTCGATTTACTTTAGTCAACGTTTATAGAAAGAACTTTAAGATATGTTTTTTTGACCCTGCCACAAACACGCAAACTCTTTTTTTTCTTATGACCCTCTCTACAGTCGAGGGAATAAAGAAAACTCGCGACGCGGTACTATAAAGTGCTTCACATCTTAAAAAAAACTCGCGACCGACTACATAAATGCAGTGCTTCGTACCGCATTAAAAAAGGACTCTGTGGTGCTCTGCAGCTTGACATGCTCTTTCAAACAAAAAAAGAAAAATATTAAATATATTGTACGAGTGCCGAAAAAGAAATTTGGGATGTGCGTTCGACGAAATATGCATTTTCCATATACAGGGTGTAACACAACCATTACGCCCCCTCTAGAACTTAAACTATAAATGATATCAAAGAGTATTATATACCAAATTAATGCTCGTCAAAAACTGAATTTATGAGTATGATTAATAGATCTTAGAACAATTGTTGGGTATGAAATTACTGAAATGTCTTGAAATACATCCCGAAATGCACTCATATTTTACGATTTTCATTCTTTATCTAGATATTTTCACCAAAAATACTAGCAGATTTGTAATCTCCATAAAAAACTGCATCTATAGACATGTCATTTGTATCTTTTTGACAAAAAAAAATTTTTCAAAAATCCTGAGGAATGCGCATTTTATGGCTAAAATACATACCACACAAGGTTTTTGAAAAATTTTTTTTGTCAAAAAGATACAAATGACATGTCTATAGATGCAGTTTTTTATGGAGATTACAAATCTGCTAGTATTTTTGGTGAAAATATCTAGATGAAGACTGAAAATCGTAAAATATGAGTGCATTTCGGGATGTATTTCAAGACATTTCAGTAATTTCATACCCAACAATTGTTCTAAGATCAATTAGTCATATTCACAAATCCAGTTTTTGACGAGCATTAATTTGGTATATAATACTCTTTGATATCATTTATAGTTTAAGTTCAAGAGGGGGGCGTAATGGCTATGTTACACCCTGTAGAACAGGAAATGGTTTTTGTTTTTCTCAGTTTACATCTGTTCAATCGGGCACCCTACATTTCTGTTTCGGTATTCATACAATATATTTAATATTTTTCTTTTTTTGTTTGAACGAGCATGTCAAGCTGCAGTGTACCGCAGACTTCTTTTTTTAATTAAGCCTTGTTTTTTATTATATAATTAGACACTTATATAACTGAACACACATTTCTTGAGGTTTTATGAGATCCTCATTTTTAATCTCGTTTTTTTCGCTTAAAAAGTAAGAATTAAAAGAAAAGAGCTCTTTGATGCACTGCATCGTGGCATGCTCTTTGTAACAAAAAAAGCTGTCAGCGCAATCCCTTGCGGGATTAAAAATGTGAAACACGATGGCTCTACTATTACTAGTTGAATGCAATCCTTTCGTTCAACTATGTTGCGGTACATTTGTAGCTAACCGTTTATCTGATGCTTTACAACTACAGTTTCTCTGTCACGGCCTGTGATGGGTAGGGAGATTCTCTATCACGGTCTGTGGAGGGGAGGAGGGAAGGAGTAGGTGAAAAATTTCTATCCTATACACTTCAACACTCCTTTTAGGGCGTCGTTCAGAAAAAAATTAAATATATAGAATGAGTCTGGACCAAGAAGCTGGGGTTGCCAAATGGCCTATTTTTGATTCTTGTTTGGTGAATATCTCTCTCAAATGTCAGGATATAGGTCTGAAAATTTTACCATAGGCTCTCCGCTACAGCTCCAACATATCTTGAAAGTTTCATGCGATTTGAACGTACCCGGGATGAAATCGGTTTTTGAGTGGGAGGTCTGAAAACGTCATTCTTGTTGTTCTCACCAAACTACGATGCCATTAGATTTTTCAAAACTTTTTTCTATGAATAATATTGTCTACATAAAAACTATAAATTCTGAAATTTTCAGCTTAATCGACTCATTTTTCGTATATAATATTAGCTATTCAATGGAATATCTCTACAGAAACATTCAATTCTAATGCTATAACAGTATATGAAAGGTCACGATTACATCTATCAAAGCACATCACCATTTGCTCATAATAGCTTCTTCACATAATATTATAAAAGTGAAAAGTTTCGCCCAGAACTTTTGGCGTGCACTGTATATAGTTGTTCAACATCTATGAGTTTTCGTTTCAATTCACTTCATGCTGGACATTTTATAAGAGAAAGAAATGCCAGTGACGCACTTACGCAAAAGGCCCTACTTTTTTCGATGATGCCAGAAATGTCATATTTTCTTCGAATGGTCGTACTATAAAGACAAATGGTCGAGACCATTTTTGTAGCAGAGAGCCTGGGCTATCAGCTAGAAAAAGGTTTCTCCAAGGATATTGTGTTGTTCTTGAGCTGTGCGTCAGACACTGCGCTAACTTGCTAACGCCAAAATGTAGACTAAGTGGCAATATGACTATTAATATTTCCATTTTTATCAGATACAAAATAATGGCCGAAAAAATGGTAAGAGACAAAAGTGCATTTTCAAGTCATTTTTGCATGAAAATGTCCCATTTTGACTGGTAATTACCATTCTTTCTTCTAATTATAAAAAACAAATCAGATAGATCGAAGCAGAATATATAAAATCTACTAAAAACTTTAGAATGAGCATGACCGGTTGTTTCATGCCAGAGAATTTCAGTGTTCAACTTTAATCATGCTGGTTGACCGTTAGCCGGACAAACCAGATCGGTTTTTAATTGTGAGATCAATGTATTTAGTGATCATTCGGATGATTCACACGGCGGTGATATTCTCATAGATGTACGTAGGGTTTTAGACACTACAAAATATGTAGGGGATTGTTTTCGACTTGTATGCTTGTCGGAAGTGAAACAATGTCGGAATAGGATAGATACGATTTCTTGGTGAATCGAAAAATGAGGAAGTTCGGTTTTGGTAATTGAAACGACGGGCATACTATATGTTTTAATGATATAGTATCGTGTTTAAACGCTTCAAATGAGTGCGTTTGATGATATATGACTTTGCAGAAGTTCGCACCATCTACTATTTTCATTTGTCACGCTGCAGATCTATGTCCCCACAAAAAAATAAAATGGAGTCTTTGTTCGTTTTATTCGATTTTCGGATTCCTCTCTACAAATAATGAAAGCATTAGCATTGATCAATTCTATAGAGCATAGCGATCGTTGCATCGGAGGCACAGAAAATCGGATTGAAAGTGTCGTTCATTACTCTTCAGAAAATCCTTTGATCTGTGTCGACTAAATTAGAGTGTTCGAACAATGGAAATCACTCTTTTACTTGCTACTATTTTGATCATACATTGCACCTCACTCCTTTACGCCCATGAGATATCGTTCTCAAGAGGAGATTGTTCACTGACAAAATTTGAACTGATTTGATCAAAGAGAAGACGCTATAATGTGAGTCTCTTATCTGTTCTAGCTACAACCGCGCAACCATTATTTGCCGCTAGTGTTCCGTATGCTGTTCAAATGTCTCCCCAATACGTCATTGTTAATGATTTCAATGGCGACACCTATCAAGATCTTGCTGTTGCCAACTTTGACTCCGCTACTGTCAGTATACTTCTGGGCAATGGGGACGGCAGTTTTCAAACACAGATGGCGTTTGCAACTGAGATTGGTTCGCGGTCATTAGCTAGCGATGATTTCAATGGTGACGGCTTCGAGGATCTGGCCGTCGTCAACCAAGACAGTAGCACTGTCAGCATACTTCTTGGTATTGGTACTGGAAGTTTTCAAACTCAAGTAGAATTCTCGACTGGTGACGCTCCATATTCAGTCGCGTCTGCTGATTTCAATGGGGATAATAATATAGATCTCGCCATTGCGAACTCTGGTGATGGTACTGTGAGCATACTGTTAGGCGACGGGACCGGAAATTTCAATCAACTAGCACAAATTACAAGTGGTGGTGGCACTCACTTTGTCACAACCAGTGATTTAAATAGCGACGGTTACGCTGATTTGGTAGTTGCTAATCATATCTTATCTGGTACTGTAAGCATTTTTCTTAGTAATGGCAATGGCACTTTTCAAACGCGAAAGACATTTTCGACTGATCGTTATCCAACTGCAATCGTTATCGGTGATTTCAACGGCGACAGTAAGAAAGATCTTGCCGTTGTCAATAAATACACTAATGACACCGTCAGCATTTTGCTTGGTAATGGAAGTGGAGATTTCGCAAGTCAAACAACTTTTGCGACAGCTAGCTATGGGTACTCGATTGCTATTGGTGACTTCAATGGAGACAGCAACGAAGATCTTGCCGTCACCAACTCGAATAGTAATCAAGTTAGTGTACTTCTTGGATACGGAAATGGGGCCTTTCAAACACAGAAAACATATGCAACTGGTGCGAATCCATTTGCGGTCGCTGTCGGTGACTTCAACGGCGATAGTCGGCCGGATTTGGCCGTTGCCAACTATAACGATGATACAGTTAGCATTCTTTTAAATATATATTAATATTGCGTAGCTGTGACCATTGCTTTCATTGTTCAAACTATAATGGTTTCAGTGGCGATAACGAACTCATCTAGTTGTCACTACCAAACTAAAAGTACTGCTTGCATTCTTTTATATATGGATCATTGTTGTAAAGCTTCACTTTTACCTTTCATTGTTCCATTTATTTACGCTGCAAATCATGCTTTCACTTCTTCTATGTTAATAACAAATTACAATGAAATGTCACTAAGCAACCAACTGCTGCTTTAAACAACCGGTCAAGTTCACTCCACTGACTTATTCTGGGTGCGGGCGTGGGTATGGGGTGTGGGTGGGTGTGGGTACGATTGTAGGTGTGGGTACGGGCGTGGGTGTGTGGATGTGGGCGTAGGTGCGAGTGTGGGTAGGTGTGGGTGTGGGTGTGGGTGTGGGTGTGGGTGTGGGTGTGGGTGTGGGTGTGGGGGATGGATCCAGAATAGAGTATTATACACACTCACACCCCACACCGACACCCACATCCATCCAGACCTACACCCTGGTAAGTTGTTCCATCTTTCCTCATAATTGAAATATTCGCTTGATGAGAGTATATCATCCAAGATGGAGATTGTCTCAATTTTGATGGACTCAACGATTGATCGTTGTCATTTGATTGTTCTTTTATGATTGTACGAGTTCGGGAGCAAATATTGATGATATATTGGATGGGTTGGTATGCTTTTGTTCATTTGGATATTTGAATCTTGGGTAGCTTTTTGTTCGAAATCGTTTAAGAGGTTCTGATTATCTGAAGAAACCTGAGAATGGTTCGCAGGAGTGTTAATTTTATTTTACAATAATTATCAACATTTTTGGCGAGAACTATCGTAGCTTTCTCATCTGAAACTATTCCTGTTCGAACTTTCACAAACAAATCACGAATTTAGTTGATTTCTGGTGGATTCGTTACTTATGCCTTTTTGTTTTTTTTTGTATTTCATCAAGTTGTGACTTAGAATATTCTTCCGTTGTATTTTTTTTTCTTCTAGTTCAATGAGGATATTTAACTCTGTTCTTTGGGAT